TCTAACTCTCTATCTCTCTCTCCCTTCCTCTCTGTAAAAAATCAATAAAATATTTTTTTTTTTTAAAAAAAAAGCAGATTCCGTTCACCCCTATTCCCAATGACCTTGGGCTCCCGGCCTTGTGCAGGGACCTCCTCCCTGGTCTCCCTGCCTTTGTCCTCACCCCCTGCAGTCCCTTCTCCCTCCAGCAGCCAGAGGATGGTGTTAAATCACAGGTCAGACCATGTCTCTTCTTTGCTCAAATGCCGCACTGGCTTCCCCCCTATCTCACTCAGAGGAAACGCCAGAATCCTTAGGAAGCCCTGCATCACACCCCCCACTCCCTCCCCTCACACGTCCCCCTCCCTGGACACCCAGACCTGCTCTGCCCGCTCCCTGCTGGGACACCCCCTCCCATGGCTCTCTCCCTCATTTTAGCCTTTCTTCAAATGTCACCTTCTCACTGAGGCCTTTTATGACCCCCGTGCTTCTTTTTATTTTATATATCAAATTTTCATTTACTTCTATATGGCACATATAACACAGGGACACCCCTGAGGTGTTTTAAGGGCAAATCTTGAACTTTTTTGTGTTTCATCTGTATCTCCAACAGATAAAGCCTTTTTCTTAAATATAATTACAATAGCACCAGCCCAACAGAATTACCCATAATTCCTTAATATCATCTCATACCCAATCCTTGTGCAGTTTCTCCCTCTCATCTCCCACATGTCTTCACACTTGGTTTATTCAAATCAGGATCCAGCTAAGGTCCTTGTATTGCATTTGGTTGATGGTTCTCTTAAGCCTCTTTTAATCTATAACCGTCCCTTCTTCCTCTTTTTTCCTTTTTTCACTCTAATTACTTGTTGGCGAAACCGGGTCATTTGTCCTGTGGAGTGTCCTTGTGGTATCATTCAATACGTTCTCTGTCCCTTGTGCCTTCTGTCCACTGGTCTTTGGGTCTAAACCTGGATTTGATGCAGGTTTCAGTCTGTAGGCAAGAATACATCATGGATGGTACTCTGGTCTTCCTTCCACATCCTGTCAGAGGCACGTATGCCAGAATGTTCCACTTTCGGTGATGCTAAGGTGGGTCCACGGATTCAAGCGCGACCTGCCTGGTGCTTCTGTCACTCAGTCCCTTTGAGCCTTGCATTGATGACCAGATCCTTAATTTCATTAGGGCTGCAAAAAGGTGGTTTTTCAATTCTACTCTTTTCTCTGCACTTACTTGCTGTGGTTCTTCTGTAAAGAATGACTTTCTCTTATTAGGTTCTAAAATACTGTTCATACAGGAAGACAGGATAAATGTTTCATTCTTTACCTTCAATTTCTGTTTATAGAATAATGAGGTTGTGCCTTAACTACCTCCAAAGGGACCCGTGCAATTTTTTTTTTCTTTTGAGAATCATGAACACATGGATTTTTACAGTTTTGCAGTCATTGTTCTTTTTGATGTTCAAGTTGCCCCAGATATTGGCCAATGGGAGCCCCTCAAGCTGGCCTCCTTGTCCTTTCGACTCCCTGGTGTCACAAGATGTCCCGGGCTCTTGTACTTTCCCTGCCCCCGTCCTGGAATCAGCCATTTCTCTGAGGAGCCCTGGGGGCCCTTAGAGTGGGAAGAGGCTATAAGACCACAGTGTGGGTCCTGGGGAGACTACCCCACTTTATAAATGGCAGCATCTCCCTCTGTGCTCCCATACCCCTCTCCCTGCTCCATTTATTTCTCGTGTGTTTCACCTCTAACATACTGTAACATTGATTCCGTCATTACAGTTGTCATTTCTTCTCTGTCTTCCCCACTAGAGTATCAGCACCGTGAGGGCTTGATTTTGTCCATGGTTGTGCCTCGGGGTCTGGCACACAGAAGGTGCTTAATAAATATTTGTTGAGTAAGTGAATAGATGGGTGGATGGTCCTCATCCTCTCCCTCCCCCAGCCTGGAGAAGGAGTTAAGAGGGGTCTGCCCCTCAACCCCGCCTCCCCCCTTCTCTAAAGCTTAGAGGCTTCTGTCTCTTTTACATCAAAAGACCTGGGAGGCAGAAATGTCACCACTTGGGCCAAGGGAAGAAAGGGCCTGGAGAAGATTAAAGGCATTTCTGATGAGATGCTAATTTGTTTCTGGAAGCTGGTGGGGGGTGGCAGCAACTGGGACCTCTGAGGCTTTGTGAGGCTGAGGCAGGAATGGGAAAAGCAGAATGGAGGGGTGGAGGCTGGCCTGGATCCTTTGTGGGCCGACCCACCTCTCTATCCATGTGCGGATCCAGCCCTGGGGGTGTCCTCACTGTGGAGCTTGGGACATTTCCCTGGCATCCTCCAGGACATCCTCCAGGGCAAACCGATGACAGGAAACCCTCCCAGGCCAGGCCTCTGGATCTCCCCCACCCCTGATGCCTCAGCACCCACCTTCCTGTGCAGCCTTATTCATTGCTGTACTTTCCACATGTCATCTGGGCCCTTTGTCTCCTCATCAAAGACTAAACAAGAACCTCCTCTGCCTTGCCGTGTGGCTCAGTGGCTGAATGTCGACCTATGAACCAGGTGGTCACAGTTCGATTCCAGTCAGGGCACCTGCCCGGGTTGCAGGCTCCATCCCAATAGGGGGCGTGCAGAAGGCAGCCAAGCGATGATTCTCTTTCATCATTGATGTTTCTATATCTCTCTCCCTCTCCCTTCCTCTCTCAAATCAATAAAAATCTATTTAAAACAAAAAGAGGTGGCTCCCTCTTGGTCAGAGCCCCTGCTCTGGATTCAGACTGCCTGGGCTCCCTTCTCAGCTCTGAAGGGGTCTGTTGATTATACTGATGATCCCATCAAATGCCTGGGCTGACCACAGGGGACACAGGACAAGTGGACCCTGTCCTTGTCTTTGGGAACCTCTGGTCTGGGGGGTGAGTAGATAATCCCAACCTAGTATGAAAAGCATAACTGAGATCCCACAGGCAAGGACACCAGCAAACAGGGGTCTCTGGACGCTGAGCACACATTCCCAGAAGCTGAATGGAGCCAGAGAGGAAGGGCATTCCAGGTGGACGACCTGCAAGTGCAAAGCCTGGGGGCTTGGGACAGTCCAGCTTAGGGAAGGAGGGAGTGGGGTCGGTAGACTGGGGCCCAAGAAGGGGCGGGCAAGGTGTGGCTTTGGGAGGAAGAGGGCTTGCGGGGTGGGGCCTGGAAGTTTGCCGCAGGGTCCAGAACACCCCAGGGCTGCACTTTCCGGCCTGGCTGTCGTGGAGGAAGGGCCTTGCCGCCACCGATTCCACAACCGCTGGCTCCGGGGAGGATTATCTATTTTAGCAACTCGGGGAAGGCGGGGGCAGGGAGTGCCCAGCCTCTGCCAGCGAGCGCAGGCAGCTCCCGAGCGGAGGAGCGCCGGGAGCGCGGGGCTCCGGAACACGAACGCGGGCAGGTGTGGTCCCTGGCCCCTGGCCCAGGGCCCCGAGGGCAGGAGGGCGATGCTGGCCGTGTCACTCAAGTGGCGTCTGGGCGTGGTGAGGCGGCGGCCCAAAGGTACCGAGCGGAGCGGAAGGGGACTGGGACGGATTGCGGGGCAGATCCTGCTGCCTGCCCAGGGGCTGGGCGGCAGGACCTGGGTCTGGATGGAGGGCGAGGGTGAGGGGTCCAGGGGGGGACCTCGGTCCAGGCGTCCCCTCCCTGCCCTGTCTCTTCCTGCTTCACCTTGACCCGATGTCTTCTGGCGCTTTTTGGGTTTCTCTTCCATACTCTTTGTGTCTGAGTCTCTCTAACTCTGTCTCTCTTTCTGCCGGTCTCTCCCTCTCTTACTGTTTCTCCTGTCTGTCCATCCCCCCTTCTACTCTCCCCCCATCCCCATCCCCATCCCCACCCTCACCCTCACCCCCACCCCTGTCTATCCCATGGTCTCCTTCTATGTGTGTCTCCCTCCCTCCCTCTCTACTTTTCTGTGCCACAGTCTCCTTCATCGACCCCTCACATGGCATGTCCCTGATGGTCTTTTCTTTCCTCCCTGTTGGGGGTCTGGGCTGGCAGGGGTGCTGTGTGTGTGTGTGTGTGTGTGTGTGTGTGTGTATGTGTAGGGGGGCGTTGCTTA